CTCATTCTCTTTCTCTGTTTCTCTCTCCCTCTCTTTCGCTCCCTGTTATAATAGTTGTACAGAGGGGTTTCAGTGAGTTATTTCTATACCCCTATCAAATTCATCTCCTCTACTACTTCTTCTCATCCCCCTCTTTATTACACATGTTTCAACTTGATTATTTGCCACTGAAATATATATTACTCAACAAATACTTTATTTTTCTTTTTTTCTTCCTAACTGGAAGTACCATTGCATGAATGCAACCTTTTTTTCCCCTATAACTTCAGTCTGAGTATTCTTAGAAACATGTTAAGGTCAGAAACCTCCAGAATACCAAGCCCCAATATTTTTTAAAAAGTTTCCCTATCCCCTAAGCAAAAGAAATAGTCACTAGGTTGAAGAGACAGCCTGTAGGATGATAAAAATTCTTTGATAACTATGCATTAATAAGGGATTAATAACTCAAAAATGTTCCAAAGAGTCAAAACCCAACAGGCAATCTGGAAGAAATACAGATGGCCAATAAATACATGAAGGAATGATCAACATTGTTGGCCAATGAATATTTAAATAACACTGAGATTTTATCTCTGTGAGAATGACCATCATCAAAAACACTAACAACAACAAATTCTGGCTAGCGTGACATGTGGGAAGATTCTTGCACACTATAAGTGGGAATATAACTCAGCCACAATGGAAATCCAATATAGTTTGGGGCTTGAACTCAGGGATTAGGTCCTGGCCTTAGCTTTTTCACTCAAAGCTAGTGCTCTACCTCTAAGCTACAGGCACTTCCAGTTTTCTGGTGGTTAATTATTAATAAGAGTCTCAAGGATTTTCTGCCCATGGCTTTGAACCGTGATCCTCAGATCTCAGCTTCCTGAGTAGCTAGGATTACAGGTGTGAGCTGTCACCACCAGGCTCCAAGACAGTTCTTAAAGCCTGTTTTTTGTAATTCAAATTAAGATCCTTATCAAGATGCTTCCTCTTCCAACTAAAACGGAATAACTGGGATTGAGTATATCTTTCCACCTGAAGAAACTATAAAAGAATAATATATATGAGATATACAGAATAGTTATCCCTAAAGAGGAGAAACAAATGAGATTACATTCCTGAGCCAGAGCTCAGGAATCTAAGAAGAGCCAAACACACTGACAGGAAATAAGAGTTGGGAGTATGAGCAACCCAAGGTCACTAGGGTTTTCAGAGCAGAATACTAAATAGGAGAGATCTACAAACAGAATGTTCTTGATACTGGTAGTATCTAAAGTTGCTTATACAGCTAACATTGAGAAGATCTTGAATAGTCAATTTCAAACAGAGCAGGTCAGCCATGGGGCCTGAACTCTGTCCCTCAGCTCTTCCGCTCAAAGGTAGCACTCTACCATTTGAGCCACAGCACCACTTCTTGTTTTTTCTGCTTTTATGGTACTGTGGAATCTAACCCAGGGCCTCATGCATGCAAGGCAAACATTCTACCACTGAGCCACCTTCCCAGTCCCATTTAATGATATTTTCTATTCACTCATAATGAGTTAACCAATGTTAGAGACAATTCAGTTAGTCCGTGCAAAGTCAGTGGCAGTAACTAGACAGCTATCCTCTAAGAATAGCTTATGTGGAACAACTAGAGGCAAGACTGTTTTCAAAGAAACTGAAACATTTTTTAGAGGTGTGGAGACTGAGGTCTAGGGAAGGGGTGAGACAAATGAAGAGGTGAGTGCAGTCATTAAGCAGTCAAAAAGGGCTGGGGCCAGGCACCCGGCTCACGCCTGTAATCCTAGCTACTCAGGAGGCTGAAATCTGAGGATCAAAGTTCAAAGCCAGCCCAGGCAAGAAAAAGTCCATGAGACTCTTATCTCCAATTACCCTCTAGAAAACCGGAAGTGGCACTGTGGCTCAAGAGGTAGAGCGCTAGACTTGAGCTGAAGAGCCAAGGGACAGCACCCAGGCTCAGAGTTCAATCCCCATGACTGACAAAAAAGGGGGGGCTGGGACGTGACTCAGTAGTAAAGAACTACATATCAAGAGGATGGTCCTGAGTTCAAACTCCAGTACCACTAAAATATAAAAATAAAATAGAAGTGCCTTGGGCAAAAACATTAAGCAATAATACAAGGCCCTGAATTCAAGCCCCACTACTGGTGCAGAAGAATTCATAAAAATGGCATAGGAAATTGTAAGAAAGGAAGGGGATAAGATAGTAACAGTGATTGAATTTGATCAAAGTGCATGATATAAATTTATGAAAATACCACAATGAAACCCCTTGTGCAATTGATATATGCTATAATTTTTTAAATTTGAAAACTGTGTGGAGCTGGGCACCAGTGGCTAATGCCTGTAATTATAGCTATTCAAGAGTCTGAGCCAACCTGAGCAGGAAAGTCCATGAGGCTCTTTTATCTCCAATTAACCACCAGAAATAAATGGAAGTGACACTGTGGCTCAAAGTGATAGAATGCTAACTTGGAGAAAAATAGTTCAAAGAGTAAGCCCCAGTCCTGAATTCAAGCCCCACAACTGACAAAACACGCACACACACATACACACACACACACACACACACACACACACCAAGTGTGAGTGCTTCCAAGGATGGTATTTTGTGGATATGACTTCGTGTAATATATCTCTTAATTTATGTGTGTGATAGAACTAGGGCTTGGACTTGGAGTCTAGGTGCTGTCCTGAAGCTTTTTTGCTCAAGGCTGGTACTCTAACACTTGAGCTACAGCTCACCTTCTAGCTTTTTGGTGATTAATTGAAGATGAGTATCTTGCAGAGTTTCTTGCCCAACCCAGCTTCAAACCATGATCCTCAGATCTTGGTCTCCTGAGTAGTTAGAATTAGCAGTATAAGCCACCAACTAGTAATATGTCTCTTTAAATTATCAAGTACCCAAAAAGCCAGTAGGATCTAACCAAGCTGAATGCATGTCACCTCCACAAGTTAAAACTTATAGAACTCAATATGATAGAAGACAACATTCTTCTGATAGTGTATATGCTATATAACGGTATATGTGATTCTCATTTTAAGACTGGATGTTTTGTCAAGATTTGCTTCGTAAAACAATTTTTGATGTTTGTTGCTTTTTAAAATTGTATTTATATTATCTTTAAGTAGTTGTACAAAGAAGTTACCATTCAAAAAACCAGTTTATAAGTATAATATACCTTGATTCATTTTACCTCTTTCATTATTCTCCCCCATCCCTCCCCCTCTGTTTTCTTAATGTTGTAGGATATGAACTGAATGTTTTGAATATTTTTATCTTTAAGTAGTTAAACAGAGGAGTTGCTATTCACCAAAGCAGTTGATGAATACAGCGCATCTTGATCATGTCACCCCTTTCAACATTCTCACCCAGCCTTCCTAACCCACCTCTTCCTTGTAAGTTATATATTTAATTTTTTTGCCCTTTAACAAAGCATCTTCATCTGTGCCATCACTTCAAAATCTTACCTCCCCCTTTAACCCCTCTCTTCCCTTACATTTCGTAATTTTTTGATAGATACAATGAAATTTTGCAACTACATTCTCCCCCACTTCCTGTCTTCATTTGCCTGCCCTCTTCCCCTTATACTCCTACCTTTCAAGTGCCAGTTTCCTGGTATTTATTCTGTAGCTTTTGAACCTGCAAATTTATTCAGTCATTTCTGACAGCAAAAGTACTGTCAGTATACTTAGTGAAAGAAATTAGCTCTGAAATACAAGTGAAATCTGAGACCTGTCTGCCACATACTTTATGCTCTTCTCCTACCGTGTAATACATGATCAGATATGGCTCCTAAAGAAATAGCCTTGATGATAATAGTTGGACCATAAGATAAATGTTTATACTCTGGGCAAGATTAATATGTTGGAAGGAAAAATAGCCTTGTTACAAATATGCTATACTTTTTTGTATTTTATTTTATTTTATTATTGTGAAAATACTGTACATGGGCAAGATAATGAGTACATTTCTTATCAAGCATCATAGCCTCCTCCTTTGTTTCCCCTTCCCATCCTCGCCCCGCCCCTCCACCCAATCCTCCCCGCTACCCCTACCCCCCGCACCAAAGTTTTAAAGTTCATTTTTCGACATAATGACTTGTACATCTCATTGTTGCAATGGGTTCACCTGTATCCCTATTTAAGATACAGTCAGAAACATGAACCACTTACTTCTTTTGCTTTCATTAGTGCTTTCATTTGGTGGAAAGACTGTCAATGTAGTCTGGAATGTTGAAGGGGCTCTGTAGAATGCAAACCACTTGGCTCTGCTACTCACTTGATCTGTGACTGCAGTTCACGTCATCCTTTCTGGACCTCAGTTATTCTTTTCTGGATATCAGTTTCCTTAACTATAAAATTAAAAAATGATGGGCAGGGAAGGTGGCTCAGTGGTAGAGTGCTTGCCTTGCATGCATGAGGCCCTGTGTTTGATTCCTCAATACCACATAAAGCAGAAAAAGCCAGAAGTGGTGCTGTGTCTCTAGTGGTAGAGCACTAGCTTTGAGCTGAAGAGCTGAAGGACAGCGCCCAGGCCCAGAGTTCAGACTCCACAACCAGGAAAAAAATGTTTTAAATTATTTCAAATTTTATCAAAGACCATCGAGACATAATTGGTTCTAGCCAATGAAGTATAATAAGAAATATGTTTCACTTCCAGGCTCTCTCTTTGATCTCTCTGCCCTGACACAACAATAGAGACACTCATCTATCTGTTCCAGGTGGTGGAGCCCTTATTGGCCTGGACCAATACTTTATATTCAGTACTTTGTATCACTAACATAAGCATGATTACTTTTCCTACTCTGTAGTTAAAGAAGTCTCTTCACAAATTAGGAGAACTGTTGGGTGTAAACAATAGAAAAGAGCTCATAGACGGGAAGCAGGGATTTGTTCTTGAGGCCTACAAGTGTTTTCCTTCCCTAAGGTTTCCCTGAGGACACTTCTGAATTTCTTATATTCTAATGTTCTAATAGTCTGATCCTTTTCTGTCTGGGTTGTATGTTTTACAGGTATGAGACATCCCTGTTGGATTTGGTTCATTCTCTGAGCCCACACTCTGCTCACAAGCCTCATCCTCATTCATTCAGAGAAGTTGGGGCCCAGAATCACAATGCTTTCCGACTTAGCCCTCAAAAATCAATCTGGAAGAAGACGGGAACACATAGGACTCCTGAAGACCTGGAGGAGAATCAAATTCTGGAAGATATCTTTTTCATTTGACTCCAAAGCATAAGCTACAAAATTTCCACAGGAAATTTGTGGGTTTCTTCACATACTGATCTAGGATGTTAAAATGATTGATTACAAAGTAATTGTGAGTCTCCTTTCACAGGGACCTATCTCACTGGCACCCTACAATGTATTGAACATAGAATTTTCCCTAAACAACCCAAGGTGTTTTTGATCAGACTAATCAGTAGATAATACATTAAAGGGAAGTAAGAGGAATAGTACCATTTTATGCCAGGGATTAGAAATTTAGGGTACTTTTTGCATGGCAGACATCGTTGTATATTCATTGTCATTTAAAGAGTGTTTCCTTCTCAATCGCCTGAGGAGAAAGATTGGTTCTCTTTTCTACACAACAAAAACCTTTCCTTCAAAGATACCTCAAATACCTTGTGACAAGCAAATTTCATAAAGACGTTTACATTCTCCCCCTGTTCTCTCACCACTGCCTTTCTGTAAGTGTGATCCTTTAATTCTAAAGTTTGAGTTGGTACCTCTACCACCAGAAGCACCGGGAATAAGTTGTGAGTCAGTTGTAGTAGTCTTCAGCCTGGTAACTGACCTTCCTAAAACCAAAAGGTCCATTGGGCTAGAAGAAAGGACTCAACCAACTCTTGGAAACAAGCAGCATTAAAATGCATAGTGGTCCTGGAAAAAATTCAGAAGAGAAACAAGCTGAATACTTTTCCTACCAATGTTCATGTTTCTGCCCCTGTAGTTTCCCTGGATGAAGAAAAGCAAGCTCTAGATATTTCTTACTGACCCAAGTATCATATCAGTTCACCTTCTATCAAATGTGCTCTTGTAAATTGCCATAGTTATATCTGGAGAAGATTTCTTCAGATGGAGAGTGGCGCCCAGCAGCTACAGCTGATAGGCTTCCGCTGGCATTTCTCCCCCCATGCAGGTGAAAGTTCCTGGTTGTCCAGGCCTTGCATGTTTTCTGTCTATGAAAACCATGTAGTTTGGGCAGCCTCCATGTCCAAGAGAAAATCTCATTGTCCCTACAGGCTGTCCTGTTGCTTCTACCCAGTCTTCCTTTACTTGGGTCTTTTCTTCTTTGGAGGAAAGAATGACATTTTCTTAATCCAAAGTAAACCCAAGGGTAGAACTAAGCTAATGGTAAATGTTTTCTTGAAAAGTTGAAAAATTATTGAAGATTCCAATTTCCTTTTAAATTTATCCCTCTGAGAGTAGCCAATCAGTTTCACTCCATTTCAAAGGGCTTTTGTAATATGGAGCTCTCTTTGTTGTGTCTAAAGTGAGTACATGGCAAATAGGCATTTTGAAAGAGAAAAGCTATCACCACAATCTTCATATGTCCTCTTCACACACCACCAGTTGTCATTCTCTATACATTTTATTGGTGTTGGTATGAGGGAAATAAGATGTGAATTTGTTTATAATGCAGTATCTTAATGGTTAATTGAATAACATGCTAATGTTTTCCTCAATATTAAAATTACTTTGAGATATGTATGTTCTAGTAGAACCTTGAGGCCTAACTTATTATTCTTGACACAAAGGGCTCGACCCTTCAGAGAGAGAGAGAGAGAGAGAGAATATTCCCAGCAGGCTGCTTTAGATTTGTTTGCCTGTCCAAGATTTCCCCAAAACAAGACTGGACACACAGTAACGGTACTGCAAATAGAATTACAACAATGCCTATCCTGCTACCCATCAGTTTATGAGAGAAAAACCAATCAGTGTTTGTAAAATGGAAAATGATGGAGTGTGTCCAGTAAAACTTCCTAAACAAGGCCCACAGTGCTTGATTTAGAAAAACAAGGTTAATCAAGGAAAACCTTCTACTGATGTCACACGTCCAGGAGGCACAGTGTTGATCAGCTCTGATCTCCTGGTGGGAACTTATCCAGAGCACTCAGATGTCATGAAGAAAGAGGAATTCTCCTATAGAGTCATTCTTCACTTGTTCCTGCTTCCAGTACCAGGTTCATTTTGGAGAGTGGCTGACCAAATTCTATAGAAGGGGAAGAAGACTTAAAAGAACAGAGCTGAGTACTGTCAGCAAACAGAGTCATAGGCTCTGGAGACTCCTCAGAGTTCACATTTTATCTATAATTCAGTGTACATTATTTTTAATGTGGACAGATTTTTATATACATATGAATTTTTAAATTAATAAATTATCTTTATGACTATTTTCCCCATGTGGTTTTGATCTTGACTTGGCCCTTTAAGCATCTCATAAAATCAGTGCATTCCAGCTGGAAAGAAATAGCAGGGCCTAGATTATCACAAAGTGTTTTTTCTCAGTTCTTATTAAAACAACAGGAATCCATGATGAATTGGGGGAAAAGGGAGATAGTGTGCCACATCCATCTCAGTTCCATCCTGGGGACACTAAGCCTCCTCCAGGTTGTATAGTTGCAAGAATGGAAGATTCAATCTGTGATACCTCTGAGTCCCTTCTGTCTGCCTGCCCCCTTATCTACATGTCCCCCAAGGAAGAAATGTCACAGCACTTGAGGACAGGAGACATGAATCTTCCTGGTTGACTTCAGAGGTTACAAGGATGCAGGTTAGGACTTGAGTGCCTGAAAGTCATGGTTCTACGATCACACCCATGTTCAAGACAGCCAAAGAGCCTATCTTGCTCCCTTTATGCATGCCAACCTGGCACCTCAACCAGAACAGTGAGACTTTGCAGCTACCACTCAGAGGAAGAAATAGCAAGAGCAGAAGCATCACTCCACCTTCTCTCAAGCTAAAAACCAAATAAGCCAATTGCCACAAATGCTGTAAGGTTATTCTTGTATCTAGGGACAAGGCTAGAGAGGAGTGAGGTAATCCTAATCCTCAGGGAATGTGTGAGCTAGCAGCTAGAGAACCAGTTTCATAGGTTAGTGTTCCTGGTTTCTTCAGCCACTTGGGTTCTACTGCTCCATTTGAAAAGGACCTTTTACCTTCTCAGACTTCAGCTTCATAGCTATATTTCTTTCTCTGTCACTTCCACAACATACACACACTGAACAATATGTAGGAGCCAGGCTGGTAGCTCATGCCTGTAATCCTAGCTGCTGAAGAGGCTGAGATCTGAGGATCATAGTTCAAAGCAAGCCCTGGCAGGAAAGTTTGTGAGGTGCTTGTCTCCAATTAACTACTATAAAAGCTAGAAATGGAGCTATGGCTCAAAATGGTAGAACACTAGCCTTGGATACAAAAGCTCAGGGATACACCCAGGCCCTGAATTCAAGCCCTAGGACCAGCACACATATACATTCACACAAAATTTGAGTTGAGCCCTTAATCCATTTGTACTGCTACAACAAAACCTAAAGCTTGATCATTTATACAGGGAAAACAAAATGTTCGTCATAGTTGTGGGAGCTGAAAGTTCTAGGCTGAAGGCATTGGTAGGGTCAGTTGCCCCAATGAACTTCATCCTCCTGAGGAGCCGAAGTCTGAGTCCTTGCATGGCTAAAGAGCAAGCTAGCAAGCTGACTAAAGGCTGTCTACAGTGTCTTATAAAAGGGCCTTAATCCTAACAATGATGAAGTACTCATTGCCTAATCATCTTACAAAGCCTGCCTCTTAATACCATCACATTAGCAACATCTGAATGTTGCAACCCATCCAAAAACAAAAAGCAACAGTGTGCCTAGCCTGTTCTGTCTGCCCCACCATTCTAGTCACAGAATTCAGTGGATGAATTGGACCTTAGAGCCCATGGTCATCCACTTTTATAGATGAAAATTCAGGGAGAAAAAGTGACTTTTCTGAGGTTCCACATACTGTCAGTGGCAGATCTGGTGGCCAGGTTGGTATCTTCAGTACATCACCTGCTTTGATCTGGTGCCCCAAGAGAAGCATTTAAAAAAATCTCAACTAGGACTGAGCATTTCCCCACCATTCTTTAGGAAAGAGTCCTCACATACCACTTGGACAAGGTAGGAAAAATGCTACCTTTTTTTTTTGGCTTTTTGTCAGTAACCTTCATTAATTGAATGCCACTATCTGGACCCTCTTTCTATATGCAGAACTAGAAGCTCTGGCAAAGCAATATATACATAAAAAAGACCTATTTCCAGGAGAGAGTGACTTTTCTAATAATAGAGGCTACAGTAACTCTAGTGAAGACCGCTTCTAAAACACATTGGCCAAAATAAAGATAAGGCCTTCCTTCAATTGGGTGGAGGTGGTACTTGGACTCCAATAAGAATAATCTATAGCATGTGTTGCCAATATAGCAACCAGTTACAATGCCCTTTCCAAGTCCACCACCAGTGTTCTTGGCCAGTTGAGGGACCCCTCACGCACACACCAGGCCCAGAGTTCAGGTTGATGGGGTTGATCCCTCTCGGGAATCAGATATGAAAACAAGTAGCCTTTGGTACAGATCTCACTTGTAAGCCATTGTTATGTTATCCAACTATAGTTACAGCGCTTGGGAAGATGAAGATGGAAAGAGCAAAATTCAAGGCCAAATGGGTTACATAGTAAGATGCTGTTTCAAAAAATAATTCAGTTGTATTCTTTGCTAGTTGGATCATATGAAGAAAAATTTAACCATACTGCCTAAATTTTAGTATTCTCTATAAATTGGGTATCTCATCTACAAAATGAGATGATGATGCAAATCTCTGATAGGATGATTGTGGAAAGAAATACAAGATAGTGCATATTAAAGACAGGTATAGATAGAATCTGACAGATTCAAGTAAGGGTTCCACTAATAGTCACCATTGGTATTAATGAACTAATAAAACACATAGAAGAGCCGGGCGCTGGTGGCTCATGCCTGTAATCCTAGCTACTCAGGAGGCTGAGATACGAGGATCGCGGTTCAAAGCCAGCCCGGGCAGGAGAGACCATGAGACTCCTATCTCCAATAAACCACCAGAAAACCGGAAGTGGTGCTGTGGCTCAAGTGGTAGAGCACTCGCCTTGAGCTGAAGACCTGAGGGACAGCGCCCAGGCCCAGAGTTCAAACCCCACGACCGACAAAAAAAAAAAAAAAAACACATAGAAGCAAAGCTTCAAGCTGTGAAATCACCACTGAATGATAAGTAAAGAGGCATAAGGGAAGGAAGGAGGGATAAATGATAAAAATGTCAGACATTGCTCCAGTGGAGTTCCCTTCGTGGAAACAAGGTGAGGAGAGTTAATGGCACACTCAAGAGTATTGGGGTGGGGGGGGGCGGCAGGGCATAGGACTCCATTTTCCCTTTCCCAGTCACATCTCCATAATGAGTAGAATTGTTCTTACATCAATATCTTCCCTACTTAAAAACCAAACACCCCCCCCCAGTATTTTCAGGACAAAGAACACATCTTTTAGGTATACTGGTGCTCTAGACATGTGGCCTCCGCATCCATTTTCTTCTTCATCTCCTTCCTTTCCTCCACCGCAGCTTACAACTGTTTGCCACGGTCCAGTGACAAGACACGCACACTCTTTTTTTCAGGTCCCTCTCTTTTGGTTGAATCTCTCCAGATAGACTTAGTTGTCATCACTTCCATGAGATTTTCCTAATTTCCCAGGAATCCTGTACTGGTGACTCCAATAATACAGTAGCTCAGCTGTTAAAACCCCTCTCACTCTAAACCGTATTGTGTTGTGCTCTATTTGTCTTCTCTATTAGAATATTGTGTCTTAATTAACATGAACCTACTTTGAGGAACCTAGCTTTACAACTTGTGAGCAAGATCTGTAAGTAACTTAGTTGCATCCTGTGAGCATCAGAAAAAAATAATTTATCAAATGACTTAGAAAGATGAAAGTGATCATTCTAAGCTACCGTTAGGTTAACTGAGCAGGAAGTAGCCAAGAGAAAAGTCATAATGACAAGGTCAACATGTCCATGAAAGTAGGCTGGCAGAGTGGATGAGGGAGGCAGAGTGGGAGTGTTACCATTTAAATATATATATGGTGATTGGTTTTAAAAATTGGCCCCACTTGAAAGCTGGTGAGGGCTTCAGAGCTGGTCTCTTCTGATGTTGGGTGTTTGTCACATACATACCTGCAAGTGACCCATTTGTGAGGTCTTAAAGCAGTCATATGCTGCTAAGTCTAGATGGAAGGGTTGGGCAGCATTGGCTAACACGTCACTGGTATCATCACTCAGATAGCAGCCCCTGTTTTCTCTGCTGCCAGGATGCAGTAGACCTTTGGATGGGAATGTTCTGCAGATAGGAAGCGGTGCCCCACCCCCACGTTGTCCTTCTATCCACTCTTAAGTCGAGAGGCAGCCAGTCCTGTGCTATGACAGTCTGAGAACAAATACTGGCACTCATGTTCCTGCCAGGTGGGTGAGTTTCAGCCCTGTTCTCCACGATCTCCTCCCAGCTGCAAGTGATTTAGACTTACTGGATTTATATAACATTGCGAAATGGTAAACTGTGTAAATTTGTGTTCCAGGGACAGTTATTTATGGAGGGTCATTTTTTAGCTCAAGTGTTAGAAGTGTTAAATCATTATAATAAATTCCTGCTATTCAGACTTTCTTACATTGTAATAATTTTTTCTAAGCATGAATGAGGAGATCCATTATTGTTCTAATATACTATTATGTATGTCTTCTCAAAGTGACACAACTTACTACATCAAGTGGGTGAATAATAGAAGGAAATTTACCATGTTGGAATTTTTTAATGAGCAGTGATGAGTGTGAGCAGGTTCTTAGGAACAGTGCTATTTAGCAGAATTCCTGGCCTCTCTCT